AAGGCACTTAGAGAATAGCTGATGCAGATTTAATTCTCTTGCGTATTGTGCCCCAATCTGAAGTAACTCCTGATGTTTTCATTATCTTTATAAAAGCCCAGTTCTTCTTTGAAACTTGCTAAGCTTTTGGCTTCGGTGATAGATGGTGACAGTGAGTTCCACAGGCTAATTACAAATTGTATGAATAAATATTTCCTTTGTTCGGTTTTGAATTTCTCACTTTCAGTTTCATTGAACGTACTCTTGTTCTTTTGTTATGAGGCAGGGAGAACAGAAGTGACCAATCTCCCTTCTCCAAACCACTCAGTGCAGGCTTTTATCATGTGTCCTCTTACCCATCTCCTCGCTAAAGGAACCACACTCCCAGTCTTTTCAAACTCTCTTCATAGAAGATAATTTCCAGGCCCTTGATCATTCTCGTCTCCCTTTTGTGAACCTCTCTAAGGCCAGGTCTACACTATAAATTTACATCAGTATAACTAAGTCGCTCAGGGATGTGAAAATCCACACCCTAATCCTGGTGTAGACTGCACTATGTCAATGGGAGGACTTTTCCTGCTGACACAGATACCAAATCTCACAGAGGTGGATTAATTACGCCAGCAGGAGCTCTCCTGTAAGCATAGTAGCGTCTTCACTGAAGAGCTACAGCTCTGCCATGTTTTATGTGTAGACCTGCCCTAATTCTGCAATATCCCACAGGAGACTAATTGACCCAGCACTGCACACAGTATCCAGATGGGGCAGCCACACTAGTTTATACAAAGGCATCAGAACAGTCTCTGTAATATTCTCCATCCTGTCCTACTACATCTGAACATCTCGTTTGTTTTTTTGAACACAGCTGCACTTTGAGCAGAGGTATTCACTAAGCTGTCTATAATGGACCCAAGGACTTTTTCTGAGCTGGTACAGTTACAATAAACTCCTGTAAGGTGTATCAGTATTTGAAATTGCTCCTTCTAATGTCCATTACTTTGCCTTTATCATCGCTGAATTCTCTCTGCCGGGGTATTTCCCATTCACCTTGCTGGGTTAGGTCTCACTGATTTTCCTCACAGGATTCTGATAATTTTGCTCCCTTCCTGCTTAGCCTCCTTTCCAGATATTTACTATATATTTTACCACAGTTTCCTCCCACAGACTCTTCTTTTACCACAGTTTCCTCCCACAGACACCTCCATAGTTAAGCTAGAGCAATGTTGGGAATTGTGTCTTTTGTGCTTTACACAACAAACAACAACATCAACAACACGGAGAACCCTCCTCCAGGCACAGCTGATCTCAAATAGAGCTGGGCAAAAGTTTTCTACTTAAACATTTGTTCAGTTAAAAAAATGCAGATTCAGTGTGTAGGGAGCCAGGATGGCTTCCCCCCGAACCAGAGGGAAAGAGCCACCCTCTCACCCTGAGTGGGCGGGGCCAGACCCAGCTTCCACCAATCCCCAGAAGGGGAGGGGTGGGACAGGAAGTACAAAGCCCTTTGCCCAGCGAGGAGAGCACCAGGGAGGGAGACGGACGCAGGCTGCTCCCTCGCAATCCTGCTGCCAACCCAGGGGAGGCCTGGGGCCAGGAGGAACCTGACCGGGAGGAAGGCCTGTCGCGACCAGGACTGCCAGCCGCTGAGTACCCGGAGGGGCCTGGCTGTAGCCCGGGCCGGCGTGAGTCCGACACAGAGGGGGAGCTGGAGCTGCCAGCAGTGGAATACCCGGCAAGCCGGAGGGACCGGAGAGACGCGCCAGAGAGACCGGGTAGGAAGTAGCCCAGGGGCAGAAATTGCACCGTGGGGGGGGGTGTTTGGTCAGCGGGCGCAGATGGCCCCCCCGCTGACCCAGCAGCAGGACCTTTGCCTCCCGCCACTGTCAGGGCCCTGGGCTGGAACGCAGTGGAGTCGGGTGGGCCTGCGTTCCCCTACCCCGGCCAACCCGCCTTGGGTAGCAGGACTGTGCGCTGCAGACTCGTCCCGGCGCGCCCCTGCCCGCTAATTCCCCAGCACCCGAAAGGTGTGACTAAGGCCTGCCAGTGGGACCATAGCTCTCCATCGCCCCCTAGGGGCTCGGAGGACCGACTGAAACCTGTCACACAGTGACACCAAAATATTTAGCAAATTCATGTACCTTTTGCCAAATTGTTTCAGTTAAAATACTTTAAAAAATATATTTAAAATGAAGCATTTCATTTTGATATTTTCTAAACAAGATGTTTCAGTTTTTCAGACCGAAACAAACTTTACTTAAAATATAAAATTAAGGAAATATCATAATTTAACCATTAAAATCCATTTTAAAATGCTCAAAATTGAAATGAAACAAAATGTTTAGTTCAACCTGCAATGAAAACTTTTCAACTTTTTGATCCACTCAAAAAAAATTGAAAAATGTTGTTTTTGGTTTGACACAAAACAATTGTTTTTCAATTTTTCAGAATTTCCAGTGAACCGGAAAAAAAACGTTATTCACTCCGCTCTAGTGCCAAATAACTATGTCCACTGAACATGCAAAGACAAGGCCCAGCTACATACACATGGCTGCTCTGGCTGGTTCCTAGGAGCTTCCAAAAGACAGAACACAGTGAGCACCACTAGAGGGCTCCCATACTAGTTAAAGGGATGCTCCCTTATGCACTACAGGAATGGTCTGGTTTTTCCTTCTCTTTGTTTTCTTTCTTTTAGACAACATCTGATCCATGATAGAACTTTGCTTCTTTATCAACCAGGTTATTGAAAGTTTAAATACATTTACCTGGGATTTAGAGGCTACATGTGGTTTATCCAAACGTTTACGACCCAACCTTTTTTTCACCTCCTTTGGCTGGGAAGCGGAGCCTGTGAGGTTGTCTCTCTCCACCTTCACTGGTGACTCCTGCTGGTGCCCAGAGAACTGTTGAATGCTGGTCTCTTGTCCCGGCAACAACAGAAGCCTCTCGTTGTGGGGAGACATGATTTTATTGAAGGATGCAGCCTTTCCTCTGGGATATGGTGTTTGCTACAGTCACCCTGGCCTTTGTCACAACTAGATGACCCCAATCCAAGTTGTTTTTCATGGACTTACAATTTAAGAACCCTCATAAATAGAGCTGGGCACATTTTTTTAGGTGAATAATATATTTGCCAAAAAATGCATTTTTGAGGCAACGAAACTATTCAAAAAATTGGATCTAATCTGGCAAATTGTTTTGGCTCAAAAAAAAAAACGGGGAAAGAATTTGAAGATATTAAAATAGCTTATTTTTGGCAATTTCAAAACAAAACATTTCAACTTTTCACCCTGAAACATTTCATTTTGACCACTTTGAAATGAACCGTTTTGAGTTTTTGTTTCAAAATGGCCATTTGTTTTGAAATTTAGCTGAGTGAAAAAGTGAAAAAACAAACCCAAAACAACCCAAAATTAAATGAAAAATCCTTCAACTCAAAATGTGGGGTTTTTTCCAGATTTTTGAATTCAACCCCTGAATTGAAAAATCAGGTATTTGCTCGGCTCTGCTAATAAAGTCAATGCAGATGCAGGCTGTGGCTGCGCTCTTGGTACGCCATGCATCACCGTTAGGCCACATACCAGGGCTCCAAGGTCAGCACTGGCTGCTGATTGGCAGTGCAGTGTAGGATTTTGGTTTTGACTCGGAAAGCCCTAAATGGCTTGGGATCTTCCCGTTGAAAATTCTGTTCTCTCCCCATGGGATACCTCTACAGCTACGACCAGCAAAGGCAATCAAGCTAGTAGGCCCCTGGTTTAACAAACAGGGATATTTTCTGAAAGGAATTCACAATCTTGCAACTCATTTCACGCCTCCAGTTCTGTTGACCTTCAGGGATTACAAAACTCATCTGTTTTCTTGGCTTGCAGGACTGAGTTAATCTGCTCTAACTCAGCCAGGCGTTATAGGGCTGGATGCAGAAATGGCTGGGAGAGATTCTTTGGCCTGGGTTATGCTGGAAGCCAGACTGGATGGGCACATTGGGCCCTGCAAACCTTCGAACTGACAAGCGTGTCACTTGTAAATGAAAAAACAATAACCCACGTGAAGGCTTCAGGTATCAAAGGGGTTTTATTTTGTTGTACAGTGTCTTTGGACAGAAGTACTTGGTGCTTCTACAACTATTAAAACCTACAGGCAGTGATAACTACGCTTTGTACAAATCGGCCTAAATTTTCAGAAGAGGCCACTAATATTTGTGCACCACCACAATGTTTGGCTGCCCAGCTAGGGTACATCTACACTAAGACCATGCTTTGACTCAGGTTTAAGCCCAAACCCCCTTCCGTTCACACAAAATCAGTCTGACTCAGGTCAGCCAGCACTCAAGACCTTGCTAGGGGATGGGTCAGAGCCCAAATCCCACTGTGACTCAGATCCAAGCCCTGTCATTTTGCAGTGTGGATGCAGGTCAAGTCAGAAGGTCCGTGTAGTGCAGCATGGAAGTGTTAGCACGGCTGTGAGACCCAGGTCCAGCAATTGTAAACACAAGTTTACAATGCAGTGTGGACACTCAACCTCATTTAGTTGAAAATCCAATTCTCCATTAAAAACCAGTTTGGATGGAAATATTTTGACCAGCCCTAGCTGAAATAATCATAAGTAGCAATAAATCTCAGTGCAGATTAATAATAATAAATCTAGATCCATTTGCCATTTAAAATTAAAACAAAATTAAAAAGCTCAGTTCTAGGGTCTGCTCTGGATAGAGCTCTTCTGCATCCTCTCTGGGTAGGGGCAATCTCGGGTCTCTTAAGAGCTGCTGGACCAGCTTTACAGCCCTCACCTCCCAGCCCGCTGGCCCGCAGGGCGCTCCCAGGGTAAGGGGATGCCAGGGCAGCATCGCTATGACAGAATCTGGGCCAGTGTTTGTAAATAAGCCATCCATTTAGCAGTCACTTGACGGCAATAGAAAGTGGTGCCATATTCCACCCTGACATGAGGTTGGGTGAGGTTCTCTGGCCTGGGTTAAGCAGGAGACCCGATTTAGATGATCATAATAGTCTCTGTGAATTTAGGCCCTCTTGGTCCAAACTACAAAAGTTTGCTGGCCAGACTTGAATTGGGATCTTGCTCTGCGGCACCACCCTGTGCCACCAGCCAAACTGGCATGCCTGCTAATTATTGGAATAACTATGCTCAACTGATCTTGACTGAGTTAAATAAAACTCCCACCTCATCTGTTACTCCAGCTACATGGCACTGCAGCTGTGATCCAGGTCCCAATTCCCGTCCTGAACTCAGTGGATGTGCTTTGTCTTGGTTCAGTTCTAGGTGCAAAATAAACAAGTAGTGAAGATCACCAGTTTTTACCCATCCCAGCCTGGTAGCATCCTTCACACATGCCTCGTGCCCCTCCTTTCTGGAGCTGTCCTGCAGGACACAGGAAATGAGGAAGGAGTTTGGTTTTCTATAATTTTGACAGGACTTTCTCCAATTGGCTGCTTGCTCCAACCCTCCCCGTCCCCACAGTAAACTCACCTCAGTTTCATTCCACACCTGTCCCTCTTACCCTCTTCTCCCCTGCCCTGTCCCCCTCAGCCTCCCTTCCCTTCTGTGTCCCCTCTCACTTCTCTTTTCTGTTTGTGTAGTTGGTCCCCTCCTAACTAAATCCTCCAAAAACGTTTTGCCACCATTCCACTGGCCCACTCCGCTGTTGTGATCTACCCCTTCCCCCACCCTGGGTGTATCTGGTTTGTTGAGATCGTCAACTCTTCGGGACAAGGACATCTAACACTCTGTGTCTGTGTAACACCTAGCACTATGAGGCCCCATTCTTTTGCCCTGAGGCACTGCCGTAACAAACATGATTACTAATGACAATAAGGAAACAGGCTCTCAACTTCCTTTGAAGCTGAAGACAAGGCCATTGTGGAGAAGCTAAATGAGCTCTTTGCATTGGTCTTCACTGCAGAGGACGTGAGGGAGAATCCCACACCTGAGCCATTCCTTTTAGGTGACAAATCTGAGGAACTGTCCCACACTGAGGTGTCAATAAAGGAGGTTTTGGAACAAAATTTTCAAATTAAGCAGCAATTAGTCACCAGGACCAGATGGTATTCACCCAAGAGTTCTGAAGGAACTCAAATAGGAAGTTGCAGAACTACTAATTGGTATGTAACTTATCACTTAAATCAGCTTCTGTACTAGATGGCTGGAAGATAGCTAATGTGATGCCAATTTTTAAAAAGGTTCCAGAGGCAATCCTGGCAATTACAGGCTGGGGAAGAGTCAACATGGCTTTTGTAAAGGGAAATCATGCCTCACCAATGTATTCAAATCCATGAGATGGGGGTAAACAAACAGGTAGACAAGGGTGATCCAGTGAATATAGCATGCTTGGACTTTCAGAAAGCCTTTGACAAGGTTCTTCACCAAAGGTTTTTAAGCAAAGTAAGCAGTTATGGGATAAGAGGGAAGGTCCTCTCATGTATCAGTAACTGGTTAAAAGAAAGGAAAACAAAGGGTAGAAATAAATAGTAATTTTTCAGAATGGAGAGGTAAATAGCAGTGACTCCCAGGGATCTGTACTGGGACCAGAACTGGTCAACGTATTGATAAATGATCTGGAAAAAAGGCTAAAGAGTGAGATGGAAAAGTTTGCAGATTGTACAAAACAACTCAAGACAGTTAAGTCCAAAGCAGACTATGAAGTTACAAAGGGGCCTCACAAAACTGGGTGAGTGGGCAACAAAATGGCAGATGAAATTAAATGTCGATAAATGCAAAGTAATGCACATTGGAAAAATAGAATCCCAACTATACATACAAAATAATGCAGCCTAAGTTAACTGTTATCACTCAAGAAAGAGATCTTGGGGTCATAGAGAACATCTGCTCAATGTGCAGAGGCAGTCAAAAAAGCTAACAGAATGTTAGGAACCATTAGGAAAGGGATAGATAATAAAACCAAAAATACCATAATACCACTATATAAATCCATGGTACGCCCACACCTTGAATACTGCAGGCGCCCCATCTCAAAAAAGATGTATTAGAAATAAAAAAGGTACAGAGAAGGGAAACAAAAATGACTAAGGCTACGAAACAGCTGACATATAAGGAGAGATTAAAAAGACGGGGACTGTTCGGCCTGGAAAAGAGACAACAAATGACAGAGATCTATAAAGTCATGAATGGTGGGGGGAAAGTGAATAAGGAAGTGTTATTTACCCCTTCACATAGCAGAAGAACCAGGAGTCACCCAATGAAATGAATAGGCAGCAGGTTTATAAACAAACAAAAGGAAGTCTTCTTCACACAAAGCAGAGTCAGCCTGTGGAACTCATTGCCAGGGGATGTTTTGAAGGCCAAAAGTATAACTGAGTTCAAAAAAGAATTAGATAAGTTCATGGAGGATAGATCTATTAGCCAAAATGGTTAGAGATGCAACCCCATGCTCTCGGTGTCCCTAAGCCTCTGACTACCAGATGCTGGGCCTGGATGACATGGGATGGCTCACTTAATATTGTCCTGTTCTGTTCATTCCCTCTGAAGCACCTGGCATTGGCCACTGTTGGAAGACAGGATACTGGGCTAGATGGACCTTTGGTCTGACCCAGTATGTCCATTCTTACATTCTTATGTTCTGTAATGCTGGATTTCAACCAGTCACTTAGAGGGTACGTCTATGCTTCACTAAAAGACCCATGGCACTGCCAGGGTTGGCCCGGATCAGCTGACTCAGGCTCAAGGGCTCAGGCTGCAAGGCTATAAAGTCGCAGTGTACATGAGGGTGGGTCTTAGACCGCAGGCTCCAGCAGCTACGGTACAATTTTTGGTCCCGCAGCCTGAGCCCTGAGAGCCCGAGTCAGCTGACCCAGGCTCTAAACTTGGTGCCAGAGGTTTTTTATTGCAGTGTAGTCGTACCCTCAGGGTGTGTCCATGCTCTAGACTCTAGTGATCCACCCTCATGTTTCTTCTCTTCTGTTAGCCACACACAGCCTCTGAAACCCACGTTAGCCTGTCTTGTGGGAGAGCAGCCACGCTACAGAACAACAGCGGAGGTCTGCAAGGGTAGCTATAGTACATTCTGAGCCCCCTGGAGCTTGGCTCGCTGACATGTGGCTCAGAGTTCTGGGGCTGCACGCCAGGGTTCGTAGCACTCGTGTGAGCTCCACCTCTCTAGAAAGGCTTTCACAGTGTACAGTGGGAAAACTTGTCTGTCCCTCCTGGGGGTGATGGGTGGCAATGGCATACAGAGTGGTGAGAACAACGAGGAGTCCTTGTGGCATCTTAGAGACTAACAAATTTATTTGGGCATAAGCTTTCGTGGGCTAAAACCCACTTCATCAGATACATGGAGTGAAAAATACAGTAAGCAGAATATATATTATAGCACATAAAAGATGGGAGTTGTCTTACCTAGGGGGGTGTCCACCTTAATTGAATTGGCCTCATTAGCACTGACCCCCCCCACCCCACTTGGTAAGGCAACTCCCATCTTTTCATGTGCTCTAATATATATACTGCCTACTGTATTTTTCACTCCATGCATCTGATGAAGTGGGTTTTAGCCAATGAAAGCTTATGCCCAAATACATTTGTAAGTCTCGAAGGTGCCACAAGGACTCCTCGTTGTTTTTGCTGACACAGACTAACACGGCTACCCCTCTGAAAAGAGTGGTGAGAGTTGCAGCCCCAAAGACTCAGTGTGTAACTTGATGATACTCACAGCATCAGCTGTACATCTTAAACACTAGTGCAAGAGGCAGAGTCTGCCTGAGCTATGCTCATTCTCCATTTCCTGTGCCAGGGTGTAGGCGACGTCCAACTGGCAGCTTTGCGACCTTACACCAGCTGAGAACTGCCTTGCATAGGGGAATTCTCAGCTGGCCAGCATGAGCAAGACCTCACCACTGGTGAACCCGCTACTAGAGATCCTGACCTGGATCTGCTCCTGGCTTTGCCTGGTTTAGATAAAAGTGTTACCCTATTGTTAAGTGTGGTGCTTGTCCCAGGGGTTAATTCTGACACACACACCCCGAGAGGGAAGGTTGGGTTTTTGCAGAGGTGCATGGATAGGACCAGGGACCCCTCTCCAGACTATAGAAATCCCCCACCAGACACCCAATTACAAGGCACCTCTGCCACTGCCCAGTATACTGCCCTGGCCAATTTGTGTGGCCCCTCAGTCACAAACACACACCAGATTGTTACCCATTCACCAAAGTGTGTATTTATTCTTTCCTTGCAAAGCATAACAGTGGACTGAGGGTTTACGACAAGCAGAGGCTGCCACACAGCCTTCACTCCTCAGCCCAGCTTCAACTTCTTAGCTTCCCCCTTGCCTCCTGTTCCTTCCACTTGTATCCTACCAATTACATTGTTAGCCCAGCGATTACCACTCAGGTGCGCATAATCCCCCAGCCGACAGTGTTTAATTGCTCACAGCTGAGCTTGCAGCCTTCTTCATGCTGCAGCGACATCAGTGACCAAGGAGCTACTAACAGTCCCCGTCACACACCCCTTTTGTCAAGCACTTAGAGATAAAACAACATCTAACTCTTATCTGTGTAAGAGCCCTGGATGTCAGTTTTGTTCCCAAAATGGTCATAAAAGGGTAGGAGATGCCCCTCTGGTCTGCAAAATAACAAGACAGACATTACAGGGGAGACGGACTGGTGGAAAAAGAAAATCTAAACAAAGATTTTCTTAAGCAAATTGTTTGAAGCTGGTTACCTGCACTGGGGGGTAGAATCACCCAGGAGGAGTTATCCCGCAACTGCAGGTCATCACCTCTCTCTGACTCAGCGAGGTTGCTCTCTGAGCTGGTGTCCTTGTGTCCCTTTGAAAAGAAAAGTTACAAGCTAGAAAATAAAGGCCATACAGCCCTGAGAGAGCTCAGTAAAGCCCGGAGAAAGACCAAAGGTGTCCTGCCTCAGATTGGGGGTCTTGACTAGATGGTCTCTTAAGGTCCTTTCCAGCTCTACATTTCTATAATTCTGTGTCCTGTAACAGGCAACTAGCTGGGGTGAAATTCATGCCTAGCAGAAATCCAAAGGCAAAACAGCTGCCTAGGCCCCTTGGGAGCTCTCTACGATCTGGATCGTGCAGAAAACTTGATGTAACTTTACAATCAGCCTCAAATAAGGAGTAAGGCATAGCTCTGTCAGGCCAGGAATAGCCCAAAGAGCGCGTTGTCTCTTGCACACAAGGACTGTATGTTGTTAAGTCCCGTTGCTTTCAGGATTGAGGCGATGCCCAGAATTTGTGCTGGGGTAAATTTCATGCAGAAAAACTTTCCCTCTCATCTTTTGTTGGCTGAACACAGGGGACCTTTATATTGAACGGGTCATTCACTGGAGGGCAATTTCCTGGGCTTTACTATAGACAAAACAGATCCATAGATTCCAAGGCCAGAAGGAGCCACTATGATCATCTATTCTGACCTCCTGTGTATCACAGGCCAGAACATTTCACCCCGTGATTCTTTCTGACTCTTCACATCACCTGTGAGAACCCATCTGCCCACCAAGCCACTGAAACCTACTTTCCATCATCATGTTTCCTTCCAGGAGCCATGGTATCAAATCAGCTCCTAGAAGCCCTTCCTTCCACACATTTCACAAGGTGTGCGATAACATAGAAGCAGGATCCAAGCAGCATGAGGTCTGACTAATGATCCGTCCAGCCCAGCAGACTCTCCCGCAATGGTCAGTGACAGCTTCTCCATAGGAAGGAACCCCCGTGTGGACATTTATGGAATAACTTATTCCTATCCACAGTGGCTGGCTCATTCCCCAAAGCAGGTGGGTTTGTTTATTATAGTGTTTTACCGAATCTACTCAAACTGTGCATAAACTTATTAACCATATAAATGTCCATACCTTTTTATTGGAATCCTAAGTTCTTGGCCTCAAGAATACCTTGTGTCGGTGAGTTCCACAGGCTAACTATCTCTCCAATAAGGAAATAGCTACTTTGGTCAGTTTTAAATTCCTTGCTTTTCAATTTAGCTGAATCTGTCATCTGCTCTTGCGTCATGAAACGGCATAAATGGAAGCATCTGACTGACCTCCTCTCTGCCATTCATTATTTTAAAGTCCTCCATCAGGCCCCCTCTTATTCTATCTCTGGTATTTAGATGGCCCCCATTACCATAATATATGAGTACCTCACAACCTTTGCTGTATTTATCCTCACAATACCCCTAGAAGGTAGGAAATGGCTACAACGCTTCTTGTACACTTGAAAAATTGAGGCACTGACGTGACCAAGCTCACACAAGAAGTCAGTGGGGGAGCAAGGAAATGGACCATTACATCCCAAGGGCTAAGCTAATACCCTAACCACCCTTCACCACCCTTTCAAGCTAAACCTATTTAGACTGTAAGCTCTGAGGCAGTGATCATCTTTTGTTGTTTATTTGTGCAGCTCCCTGCGCACTGGGCCTGGGTCTGGGCCTGTAGGCACTGTCACAGATAAATAATAATCCTGATGTTTCGAATCATTCTTCATATATAAGTCTCCAGGCATTGATCCTTCTCATTGCCCGATTCTCACATCCTTTCTGAGATGGGGTGACCAGAACCGAATGCACTATCCATGGGAGGGCATAACTCTGGCACTAGTATATCACAGAATCATAGGACTGGAAGGGACCCAGAGAGCTCATCTAGTTCAGTTCCCTGCACTCATGGCAGGACCAAGCACCATCTAGACCATCCCTGACAGGTGGTTTGTCCAACCTGCTCTTAAAAATCCTCAATGATGGAGATTCCACAACCTCCCTAGGTGATTTATTCCAGTGCCTAACCACCCTGACAGTTAGGAAGCTTTTCCTAATGTCCAACCTAAACCTCCCTTGCTGCAATTTAAGCCCATTGCTTCTTGTCCTATCCTCAGAGGTTAAGGAGAACAATTTTTCTCCCTCCTCCGTGTAACAACCTTTTATATACTTGAAAACTGTTATGTCCCTTCTCAGTCTTCTCTTCTCCAGACTAAACAAACCCAGTTTTTTCCAATCTTCCCTCATAGGTCATGATTTTTAGACCTTTAATCTTTTTTGTTGCTCTTCTCTGGACTTTTTCCAGTTTGTCCACATCTTTCCTGAAATGTGGTGCCCACAACTGGACAGAGTAGAGTAGAAGAAGTATTTCTTGTTTTTTGTTTACAACACTCCTGTTAATACATCCCAGAATGATGTTTGCTTTTTTTTGCAAGAGTGTTACATTGTTGATTCACATGGGTGGCGGGTATAATAGGCCAGGGGAGTTTAAGTCTCCCCTGACCCAACCGCCACCCCGCCGCCTTTCAGAGTGCAGATGCCAGGGCTATGGCCCCTCGCTCTTCCCCCTCCCCACTCCACCTCCCACCCTCCCCTCGCTCCACCCCTTCCCTGCTCAGCCCCGCTGCTTGCCCTTACCGCCGAGGAGAAGAGGAGCGATGGAGAGCGGCAGGCGGGGGGGGGCCGAGTGGGGAAGGAGCTGAGTGGCTCCGCCCATTCCCACTCAGCTCCGCCGCTCACTCCTCTTCTCCGCAGAGGACTCCTCCTATATCTTGGAATAACTGACTTAAAAAAGAAAGCTTGAAGGCAGAAAAGACACGTGCCTGCTGATAGTAGGAGGGCAGAGTGAGGGAAGCCAGCTTCAGCAGTGTTACTGAGCATGCCCAGTCTGTGTAAGCATGCTCAGATCAAGCCAAGCAACAAATCTGGGGGGACACGTGACCCCACATACTGTCCCACACGCATCGCCTCTACTGGAAATGACACTCCTACCTCTGTTTTTGCCTGAAGCTGGGATCCAGATCCTGATTCCTGCCCAGACAGGTCATCTTTCAGAAGTCCTGGACTCACAGGTTTTCCTTCATTTATTTCTGGTTCTAAACTTCCAGATCCTGGTTAAACCAAATGTTAATAAAAATAACACTAATAATAAATAATAATAATAATAATTAATAAACAGTTCTCCCACTCACTTATCAGCCTCCCATTTAGTCCAGCTGAATCCCTAGCCCCTTTCTTTAACTAGTTTTGGGAAAAATTGAAAAAATATCTACTTAAAAAAATTAAACTCAGAGTTAGGGCTGGTCAATATTTTTTAAATCAAAATACCTTTTCAAGGGAAATACCTTTTCATTTTAATCTAAACAAACATTTTTGCAGAATGTGTCTTAATAAATTTTTCATGGCAAAACTGAAAACTTCAGTTTTTGGCTGCTGAAAACTGAAATTTGTTTTGTTTGTTTTCAAGTTTTCAACAAAATATTAAAATATATATATAAAATATATATTGTGACAGGGTCAGGCCAGATGGCTACAGGAGAGTGATAGAAGGCAGATATATTAGCCCCAGGTTAAGTAGGTCCCTTTTCCCTGGGTAAGGTAACAGGGAAGGTTCCAGAACAATCAGGAACTTTCTGGAAACAATTAAGACAGACAAGCTGATTAGAACACCTGCAGCCAATCAAGAAGCTGCTAGAATCAATTAAGGCAGGCTAATCAGGGCACCTGGGTTTAAAAAGGAGCTCACTTCAGTTTGTGGGGTCGCGTGTGAGGAGCTGAGAGTGAGAACGCGTACTGTTGGAGGACTGAGGATAAAGAAGGTGTTGGGAGGAGGCCATGGGGAAGTAGCCCAGGGAGTTGTAGCTGTCGCACAGCTATTCCAGGAGGCACTCTAGACAGCTATATTCCACAGGGTCCTGGGCTGGAACCTGGAGTAGAGGGCGGGCCCGGTTTCCCCCCAAACCTCCCAACTCCTGGTCAGACCCAGGAGGAGCTGACCTGGACTGTGGATTCACGAAAACGGCCAAACTGAGGGCTGCCATGAATCTCCGAGGCGAGCAAATCTGCAAATAAGCGCAAGACCCACCAAGGCAAAAAAAATTGGGGATTGGTCCTGCTTTGAGCAGGGGGTTGGATTAGATGATCTCCTGAGGTCTCTTCCAACTCTGATAGTCTATGAGTCTATGAGGAGGAACTTTGTCACAATATATATATATATTTTCACCTAAATTTTTCCCAGAAAAAAAAAACACTCACTTTCTGACCAGCAATATTCATAGCCTCCTGGGGAAGAGACTAATGAGTCAATGTGACAAAGGGATGGTTCTGAAAAACAGAACCCTTAGCTCCATCAGGGTCGGGATTCCCAAGAGCAGAGCTGTTAGCGCTGAACCTCTTGGTAAATGGCATGATCACCTTGGTATCAACCTTGCGTTGCATCAGAGAAAATTAAGACTTTCTGGACAGAAGTCAGCATTTGGTTCTGGAGGTACAACATGCTGAAGAATCAGAGAGTGCAGCGCAGAATGGGGAATCATAGAATATCAGGGTTGGAAGGGACCTCAGGAGATCATCTAGTCCAACCCCCTGCTCAAAGCAGGACCAATCCCCAATTTTTGCCCCAGATCCCTAAATGGCCCCCATCAAGGATTGAACTCACAACCCTGGGTTTAGCAGGCCAATGTTCAAACCACTGAGCTATCCCTCCCCCTGAAGAATATTGGCAGCATGTGACCTCCAGAAGAATGAGGAGAACCCATGTACCCCCTATGCCAGGGGTGGGCAAACTACAGTCCACAGGCCACATCCGGCCCGTGGGACTTTCCTGCCCGGCCCCTGAGCTCCCGGACAGGGAGGCTACCCCGGCCCCACCCCTGCTGTTCCCCCTCCCCCGCAGCCTCAGCGCGCCGTGCCGTCGGCGCAATGCTCTGGGCGGCAGACTGCGAGCTCCCGGGCCAGCGTGGCTGCAGAGCTGCAGCCTGACCCGGTGCTGCGCAGTGCACGGCTGCCTGTCCTGGTGCATCCGCACCACCAGCCACCCGTGCTCCAGGCAGCACAGTAAGGGGGCGGGGGGGTGGATCGAGGGCAGGGGAGTTTGGGGGGTAGTCAGGGGGCGGGGAGTGTGGATAGAGGTTGGGGTGGTCAGAGGGCGGGGAACAGGGGGGTTGAAGGGGGCAGTCAGGAATGAGAGGAGGGGTTGGATGAGGCAGCAGGGGGCAGTCGGGGTGGGGGTTCTGGGGGAGGTCAGGGGACAGGGAGAAGGGGTGGTTGGATGAGGCAGGTGTCCCGGGGGGCGCGTCAGGAAGGAGAGGAGAGGAGTTGGATGGGGTGGCAGGGGTAGTTAGGGGTGGTCAGGGGACAGAGAGTGGGGGTGGATGGGGCAGAGGTCCCGGGGGAGGCCATCAGGAAGGAGAGAGAGGTTTGGATGGGGCAGGAGTCCTGGGGGGGCTGTCAGGGGGCTAGAAGCAGGGGGGGTCGGATAGGGGGCGGGGGCCTTGCCACACCTGGCTGTTTGGGGAGGCACAGCCTCCCCTAACTGGCCCTCTGTACAATTTTGAAAACCCAATGTGGCCCTCAGGCCAAAAAGTTTGCCCACCCCTGCCCTATGCAGATAGAGGTAAGAAACTGTTTTCAGGCTTTCTGCACACATACTACTGAGGAGAATGATTTGGAAGAGCCATCTGAGGGAAGGGATCAGAAGGAGACCCCATCAACTAGAAGGCATGAGATGCATTGTCCTAGGGATGGGGGTTCCATGACCACCACTCCCAAGAGGAGGAGACGGGTGGTGGTGGTGATTGAGGACTCCCTCCTAAGGGGGACAGAGTCATCCATCTGCCGGCCAGACTGAGAGACTCGAGAAGTGTGCTGCTTGCCTGGAGCTAGAATTCAGGATGTGACTGAGTGTCTGCCGAGACTGATCAAGCCCTCAGACTGCTACCCTTCTCCACATGGGCACCAATGATACTGCCAAGAATGACCTTGAGCACGTCATTGCAGACTATGTGGCTCTGGGAAGAAGGATAAAGGAGTTTGAGGCACAAGTCGTGTTTTCATCCATCCTCTCTGTTGAAGGAAGAAGCTCAGGTAGGGACTATCGAGTTGTGGAGGTGAATGCGTGGTTATGCAGGTGGTGTCGGAGAGAGGGCTTTGGATTCCTTGACCATGGGATGTTGTTCCGGGAAGAAGGATTGCTAGGAAGAGGTGGGATCCACATAATGAAGAAAGGGAAGAACATCTTCGCAGGCAGGCTTGCTAACCTAGTAAGGAGGGCTTTAAACTAGGTTCGCTGGGGGACAGTGACCTAAGCCCTGAGGTAAGTGGGGAAGTGGGATCCTGGGAGGAAACACACGGAGGAGGGTGCAACGGGAGTGTGGGGGGTGAGCGTCTGATTCATACTGAGAAAGCAGGGCAATTGGCTAGTTATCTTAGGTGCATGTACACGAACGCAAGAAGCCTGGGTAACAAGCAGGAAGAATTGGAAGTCCTGGCACAGTCAAAGAACTATGATGTGATTGGAATAACAGAGACTTGGTGGGGTAGCTCACTGGAGCAGTGTCATGGATAGGTATAAAATGTTCAGGAAGGACAGGTACGGGAGGAACGGTGGAGGAGTTGCACTGTATGTAAGAGAGTGGTATGATTCCTCAGAGCTCCAGTATAAAACTGGATAAAAGCCTGTTGAGAGTCTTTGGGTTAAGTTTAGAAGCGAGAGCAACAAGGGTGATGTCGTGGTGGGCATGTGCTATGTGCATCCAGAAGGATGAGGTAGACGAGGCTTCCTTCGGACAATTAACTGAAGTTTCTAGCTCACAGGCCCTCGTTCTCATGGGGGACTTCAATCACCGTGGCACCTGCTGGAAGAGCAATACAGCAGTGCACAGACAATCCAGAAAGTTTTGGAGAGTGTTGGGGACAACTTCCTGGTGCAACTACTGGAGGAACCAACCAGGGGCCATTCTCCTCTTGACCTGCTGCTTACAAACAGGGAAGAATTGGTAGGAAAAGTAGAAGTGGGTGGCAACCTGGGCAGCAGTGACCATGAGATGGTTGAGATCAGGATCCTCACAAAAGGAAGAAAGGAGATTAGCAAAATATGGACCCTTGACTTCAGAAAAGCAGACTTTGACTCCCTTGGGGAACTGATGGGCAGGATCCCCTGGGAGGCAAAGTTGATGGGGAAAGGAGTCCAGGAGAACTGGCTGTATTTTAAAGATGCCTTACTGAGGGCGCAGGAACAAACCATCCTGATGTGCAGAAAGAATAGCAGGCAACCAGCTGGCTTAACAGTGAAATCTTTGGTGAGCTTAAACACAAAAAGGAAGCTTACAAGATGTGGAAACTTGGTCAGATGACTAGGTAGGAGTATAAAAATATTGCTCGAGCATGCAGGGGTGTAATCAGGAAGGCAAAAACACAACTGAAGTTTCAGCTAGCAAGGGATGTGAAGGGTAATAAGAAGGGTTTCTACAGGTATGTTAGCAACAAGAAAAATGAACAGGGGAGGCAACCTAGTGACAGATGATCTGGAAAAAGCTGAAGTACTTGATGCTTTTTTTACCTTGGTCTTCACAGACAAGATCAGCTCCCACACTACTGTCCTGGGCAACACAGTATCGGGAGGAGGTGAGCAGCCCACAGTGGTGAAAGAACAGGTTAAGGACTATTTAGAAAAGGAGTATTTAGAAAAGCACAAGTCCATGGGTCTAGATTTAATGCATCTGAGGGTGCCGAGGGAGTTGGCCGATGTGATTGCAGAGCCATTGGCATTATCTTTGAAAACTCGTGGCAATTGGGGGAGGTCCCGGACAATTGGAAAAAGGCAAATATAGTGCCCATCTTTTAAAAAGGGAAGAAGGAGAACCGGGGGAACTATAGACCGGTCAGCCTCACCTCAGTCCCTGGAAAAATCATGGAGCAGGTCCTCAAGGAAACCATTTCAAAAGCACTTGGAGAAGAGGAAGGTGATCAGGAACAGTCAGCATGGATTCACCAAGGGCAAGTCATGCCTGACCAACCTGATTGCCTTCTATGATGAGATAACTGGCTCTGTGAATATGGGGAAAGCAGCAGACACGATATATCTTGACTTTAGCTAAGCT